CAACGTCGCTGGATTATGCCCTTACAGTAATTCGTGATGAACGATAGCTCTCAGACAGCTTCGGACGACAGTCGAAGATTGAAGTTATATTTGCGAAGCACTTACAGGGAAATGCTTATGTATCCCCCTAAAAGTACAGGTTAGGGACCGGTCTACCATAAACCGCTACGAAGTCCTTCAGAGCGGTCCTACGGGAGAATCTAGAAAGGGATGAAGAGTCGATCGAAACTTTCTGCTCAACCTAATAATTCCATGACAAATGAGTGTTCGTCGACATCCTACGTAGCCCGAATGATCAGCAAACGATTGGGAAAAAATGGGATGCTGGATGTGCGCTAGCACATCCAGCATCCCATTTTTTGTTGCAACGACATCCTCCTCTCTTTCAACTCCAACGATGCCGCTAAGAAACCAGTTTGCTCTTGTGGCTGAAGCTGGCTAATTGAATTGAAGTTGTTGTCGTTAATGATTGGCAATGTGCACGAATACATCTAGCATCTGCTCTCCTGGCTGAACCATTCCATTTCCCCATCCCTTTCCACTCCAATGATGCCATTAAGGAACCAGTTTCCTCTTTGAAGCTGGCTAGTTTATTATAGTTGAGATCTTGATGATAAATAAAGTTCTTTGACGTTGATCATTCCCATCTAAGGGATACGTCATCGCATTCGACTTCTATTCAGAGTCGATAGAACAGGCGCTTTTCAGAGTGCAGACACATGGCTAGCATAAGTATAGGAGGAATGTTTCTATTTTACTTATACCACAAGATTTAGGTCCGCGCATACGAAAATGGGTAATGAAGGTATCTCTTAAAATTTGGTAAGCGCTGTGGTTACCCTAGATCACATTATCAATTCAACAAGTCTTCTGTCCTTGGTCAGCCCATTCCTGCGATGTGCTCCCGCATTCACCTCCATTCAGAGTAGTAGTATCGGTTTGGATTTGTATGTGACCTTTACAATGACCCGCGGTGAGCAACCCGTGTATATCAGTGCTTTTCTCCGCCCAGACGACTCTTCTACCGATCAACCGTCTCCTTACGGATGGAAGGATCGGTGGCTTGGACAGGTGCTGATCCGTCATCCAATCACAGGGCAAAGCGTGTGTGATAATGCGCCTCTTGCCACTACACTACCTCCGTTCGGGCTCTGCATAAAGAGAATTGCGGAGACAAGCAGACGCCTTTATATTCGGATAAATTTACCCCTGGATGACCTGCTGAAGCCCAGAATAGCATTTCCTATGAGCGAGTATAGTAAAATGTAATAGGAGCACCTGCTTTATGTGCTCGGCGCCATATTGTTGCATGAACACGATATTGCTGCGTGGCCCTATGAGGGACTTTTGATTCATAGCAATGGTAAGACGAATAAAATTACCAGGAGGGAGGAGTGTGTGTCGGGGTTACCACACAGCTGGCGTCTTTTGCAGCTACGGGTCTTCCGAATGATAGATGGAACAGTCAACCGTTAAGATCTTCAGGCTGACGCCTGGAAGCCTGGTACAGTAATCGATAGTGGTATAGTGGAATTGACCATGAGACTGTAGAGCGCTAAGTCTGAGTGGCTCTGTAGAAGTCTTAATTATGTAATCAGCACTGCGAAAGTCTCCTAGGCAGGTTATCCTAAGGCTCACTCTAAGTCCCGTTGCGTTTCCTCCATCTTGGGGCCTTCGATGATCCAGTAGAGGTTGAATCTTGGAGTTTATCGGTTGTACAGTTTCCGACTCCGTAATTGTGAGGCAACGCTGAATTTTCCGTGGGAAACGAAATAGTGCTTGATATTCTGAAGAATGCTATTGCGAAGAATGACTAGCGAAATAAAGTTCTCTCAAAAGGTTTCAGTTCAAGAAGTAAAATTTAGGTTTGGAGGCATGCTATAATCTGTTGGGGGTAGTACTACAGACTAAGTGGCTTCATTACACCAAACTGGTTTTTACGATCAAAGCTGTTTGGAAGTAAGACAGGCAGCTGTTTGCTTCAGTCAGACATTTGATGTGATAGATTTAGCAGAATTGAAATCTCGGAGTGGGCACTGTATCACAAGCTTCTCTCAGAACCCAGCAACCGCTTTATTTTCTATTTTTCCTTGAACCAGCTCTTTTGAAGGCACTGCTCGCAATAGTTTTGGGGCATCTAATTTTAGACCAATAATGGAAGTCATAGTTCAAACCAGTGCAAAAAACGTCTAGAAAACGCGAAGACCAACTTGTCCGGCTGCTCAAAAAACGACAGCCAATTTGTTGTCTTTCAATTTCCGGGTTCCTTGGACGTTAACCCCCTTGAAGGTCGAAAGCGACAGTTGCAAGTCCGCAGTGCCCAGGTGGACGAAAGCGACAGTTGCAAGTCCGCAGGGCTAGGCGGTCGAAACCACAGTTGTAAGTCCGGCTTTTTCCAGATGATTTGACACTGAAAATTTAACGGTTTTTCTAATAGAGTATTGTACGGAGGATGTAAAAGTGGGGAAATGCGATAGGGCAAAACTGTCGCCCATGCAGTACGGGACATAATTCTGACCTGGTTTCAGTTCATGCCAGTCAAAGCTTACATCCTGGCTTGGTTGGTTTAGTGACGCCAGGCTTGTCTGGGATGATGTGTGGGTTATACATTCATTGACTAGCTCCAGCAAGCCCTTCTTGTGCCCCTATAAATATGAATGGAACTCGGCCGCGTAGGCCAACCCTGATGTCAACGTAGTCCACGAAATAAACTTTACTTTTGTGTATACTGCGAAGTTCCGGCAAAGACCCAAATGACTAAGGAAGGCTTCTTCATAATTGCACCCTGCACTAAGAACCGGATTCCAATGCAAACGAGATCAAGCAATGGAGCGTGTAGCCGGGAAAAATTCAACGATGAGACCAGCAATGACATGCATTATCCTTTATGATGCGTCTTTCTGTAGAATCCGGCAACATTTGAAAGGATCCTCTTCAAGGATAACCTAATCCGGAACTTTCCTTATATCGAAATAGGAATGAAAGTTTCGGCACAATTAGGAACTGTTTCTTCATTAAGTGGTTAGTTGATGAGCTTGAAGTGTAACGCAAAGACAAAGGTTTTATGGGAGCTCCCTAGCTACTCTTTCAAATCGGTTTACTCAAGGAAATCAACAAGAGCTTTCGGTTCTTTTGCTTCTATAATTTGATGAAGTAACTCGCCAGTTACTTTTACTGGGAGAGCATATCATTCCAGAGCGTGGAAAAACACGGAGAATGCTTCAATTCGCAGGAATCTCGTCCTCAAGAGTCCGATACCACTCGAGGGTCTCATACTTACTATGAGTTTTCGAAAGCTCTGAGAAGCTCTGACTTCACTCTTGATGAATATTACATTGAGCACTGTCAGTATTTGAAGGCAACGATGGTTTTTGAGATGCCTCTCTAGGCCGAATCTGGCGGATCGCCTGATTACCATATATGACGCTATCTGATCAAAAAAGGTCTAGATAGGGCGTAATAAGGGTGCAAAGGTCGTATCCCACGACTCACCCAGAGCGGACGAGTTTTAAAGGCGTTGTAGTAGTCTAGACAGCTAGTTGTGACTCCTGGCGACAGTGGAGGACAGATTTGGACAGTTTTGTCTCGACGTAGTCAGCTCTTCACGTGATTGCAACAACCAAAATCTCGTACAAATACACCTTCCATGCTGTTTCCGTTGTTGTAATCTCGTACATCGTTTACTTTCAGTACTTTCAGAACACTTGCGGTTCTGCGAAGTCGGCGGATTTGTCGCTTCCTTCGCCACCGATGTACTATTCTCCATATTATTCCCTCTTTTCAACTTAAAAGGGGACCTCGAAAATACCGTGAAGTCGGCTTTAAACCTCTCGACCGTTCCAACAATCAATCACGCACGTAGAGCGTTCCCTAATGCTTGACAAATGCAAGTCGTTTCAGTCCGTATCGGTCAGATTTGTTTATAGGGGAATCCCAAAAGAAAAAGATCCGGAAGTATTACAGACTCACAGACCCACAGTTGTTGTGGATTGTGTATCCCTGTGTCAATTTATGCACGATGTCGTACTTCCGAAACAAATGTTCCGTCATTCAAAATGGTCTGAAACAGGTTCGCCGTTGGTTTTCGCTACGGAGAGACCGCCGCTTTATCGCAGCATGGAAGAAAGATCGCGCCCCTGCTGTCATTGAGGATTCACCCGGTTTGCTTTCAGTAGGAGAGCCCATATATCCTCGTACAGCTCCCGCCTGATCAATCACCTTCATCAAGCACTTCGCTTTTTTGTTATTTCTTTCCATGACGATGAAGGTAAGATGCAAACCTTATAGCTAGCTGGTTCTAAACTGATCCGTTCCGTTAGCTCTTTTTAGATTTTCTTCGCAACATTACTTCTTGGAGCAGTTTTAGCCGATTTTACTCCCGATTTTTCATCATTCCTAGCTAGTTATTATGGGCCACAAGTGAGAGACCAGATGGAGCGGTTGGTTTTTGATAATTGTTTTAACTACAATCCACTGAATCACTGCTATCTCGACATAAACTCGGTAGAAAGCTGCACCTAATGAGCATTTCTGCCCAATCGAGCATAAATTTCTTACAATTAAACTTTTATCGTCATCACCCGGGCTACTCGAACTAACTAAATTAGGCCACTAAGTGTCACCTCTGTGAGTTTGTCTGGGTGCACGAAATCTCGTAAAAGTTACCTTTAAACCATTTGCGATATTGAATACTACAGGCTTTTCGTCGCTTGTTCTTTTTTGCACTTGTAAAATGAAGAGTATTTGGTAGAGTTGATAGAAATCTGTGGTTAGCCCTTATGCACAAGCAACATACTATTAATTCCCTGACACTTTCTGATCCTTCTAACTACCTTGTTGATCTATTTCCACTTATTTATTTAATATTCGTTTGTATGTATGATAGACATGCTGCCTAGGAATACTTCTTATTTAATCAAACCTAATGTGAAAGAAAAGCGGAGGTGGTGTAGTGGCAAGTGACGCACTATCCTGCGCGCATGGTCACGGGTTCAAATCCAGGATCGGTTAGCGCCATAGCCGACCGAACCTTCCATCCCTCCGAGGCGCAGCAGGAAGATGTTTTGACCAATTACTGGTAGAGACATCGGTAAATCACCTTTTAATGCCCTCAAACCTATTTGGACAGTGATTTCTGGTAATATTATCACACAGCCACTGAAATTACCTCTCATTCCTCATTCTGTGCTACTTTTCTTGAAATTTTAACGTTGGTGGCGAATTTTTTCCAAAAAAAATTGATGACATTAGTAAATTCTTTGGTACAACTTGTATTTTCGACGCTTTGACTATCATTGTTTTGTCCGAATAAGCGCATGACCCTTGCCGAATCACGGATATGACGTCCACGACACTAAAGCGGATCGCGATATTTTGCAGAAAAAAATCTTAATATGACTATTGAAATGTCAAAAGTGCACATGCGACTCACAAAATGACACTTCAAAAGCAGTTTTTGGAAGGGATCGTCAAAAGATCAGCCCTAATGTGTGTCAGCTGATGAAAGCCACCAGCGTCACCTCGTGTCCGGCTGCGAACTAACTTCAAAAGAAATGGACTTGGCTTGCTTCTGCTGCTTAAGCTGTAGAACAGTAGGCGCCTAACTTTTACTTCCTAAGCAGGGTAACCGATATTTTAATGGCACTTTAGCCGGCCGATGTTTTGAACAAAGGCAGAACTGAAAGGAAAAAGCCGAAATCCATTGAGAGTCGAACATGGCACTTAGCACTGTATCGGGAAAGTGTCACATTACTAGCTCACTGTGATAACTCTCCTCTCTGTTTCCTAAAACATATGCGGCATAGCCTATGCTTCAGGTTAGCGATTTTCGCACTACATAGCGTTCCACCGTGTGCGCTGAGAATTTCACCAACCTCGGACCAAAGATAGTTCATTTTACGAAATTTTCATTGAAAGATCGCTTAAAGTGAATCGATTTTGTGTTGCGCAACAAACGCGACGTTTATTTGAAGCCCGGGTGACTGTTCGTGAGGGTGATTGGTTTCTGCAGCGACTTGCGTACTTCAAGTGCTTGTCATTGCTTTCGCCAGTCCTAAATGGTTTTGAAACCGAATTACAGAATCCTACATCCTTTTACACACAACCCTGATTTCAGTTCCTGGTTGATAGATGGATAATTATATAGCCTGTCCATCCTTATATTGCCTGCGTGATTTAAGGCCCAAATATTTGGTAAAGTTCCATCTCAATCCGTGGTTATATTGATTGAGTTTAACTTGTTATATTGATTGAGTTTAACTTCTTAGAAGCTACGGAAAGGCTTCGGGAATGATTTATTGATGAGAAAAACAAATGGAGAAAGGCAGCGATACTTCATAAGCGTTCTTTTCTCACATTCTTCCGTTTTCCCATTGCGAGGCTTCCATGTCTATTGTAAGTATCTCGATGTCTTTGAAAAAGGATAGCTTCAATTCAAGCGGCTCACCACAGAAAAGAAATTTCTGGAACATCATTTTCATGTCTTTAACTTTGCTGCTACTTTAAAAAGCCAAAGGCCGTTAATGGATTTTTAGTTGTTTTTTCGTGAAAAGGCCTTCGTACTTTTTAGAAAACAGGTATTAGACCATGATCGACTTTCTCCAAGTGTTGGCATGAGCTTTGACTTGCGAGCCTTAGCCTTCCGTTACTCGAACGTTACTGGGCTCGTGTTTCGGCTTCTTCGATTTCGTCAGAGCCTGAAAGTCGAAAAACCAGTTGGGATCGATCCAGACAATACCCAAGGTAGTTCTATCAAACAAAACACTCCCGGGCCCTACCAAGTCGCCAGTGCGCTAGGTTGACCACCAAGAAATCAACTGAAATGTGACCGAGGTATTCCTTATGAATGTAGCTTTGATATGGAAGCATTGCCTGATAGCATTAAAATAGCGATATCCATCTGTTTGGCTAAGCGTATGCAACTGGACGGCGCCACGATCGCTCAGATCCGTTAGCGATCTCGCTAATCTGACAGATTATAACCGCGCTTGTTCGGAGAAGGTCAAAGCTCATTTGCTGCGCGTTACGGGCTGGTGCGCTGCGTAGCCAAGCGTGGAGAACACCATTGTCAGACACTTGCGGTTGGCTGTCACGTCGGTTTGCTGTACAGTCTGCTGTATTCGTAGAATGTATACCATTGAAAAATGACTCAAATAAAGTAATTAAAGGCACAATTCACGATAATTTTGAGGCACTTCTTTTCATTCAAAAGCGGAGGTACAGGTTGGGAGTAGTTCATCGGTAGTGAAGGAAGCATGAAAATTCGTCGATTTCGAGAAAAATGACGTCCCGCGAAAGTGGGAACACCAAGGTTGGACGAGATTACCGTGACAGAAATANCAGAACTGCACAGAACTGCTCTTGATTTTCGCTGTGGTCATGAAAAGTTGTTTTAACTTCCTTCATGGGTTCCCTTGTGAATGGTACAACTTCTACAGTGGTGGTGTAACTCGTCCGAGGATGAACACGATGCAATTTTCTAGCCTTTACATCCCCCGAACTAGGCCTTCTTCCGACCTGAGAGCGCCAGATATAGTATGTGAGAGGGCCTAAAATTCATCCCATAGGAAAATCCCAGAAACCATTTTCATCGTTCGTGAACTGTGCCTTTAAGTAACTTCTTAATAAAAAAAGGAAAGGAACAAGTTGACGAAGCAGCTTTCGTAGGCGAAGCTGACCTGTGTAGAAATTGTGTTAGCAAATATCTGTGGTACCAAAGGCACTGACTGAGGGGCAGTGATTTATATTCGGGATTGAATTAACTCCAAATGTTATCATTAGGCCATCTCATTCAAAACTTCCGAACTCTCCGAATAGAACGAGCAGCAAAGGGGACAGAAATTTGGTAAATTAAGGTTCAATCAGTTAGGCTCCATAGTGGTCAGTGACCCAATCCCAACGCTTAGGAAGCATTTGGGCAACAGGATGCTGATCAGGTCTACTTCGGCGACCAACCACTTGCCGAAGTAATTTACTGAAAGTTGTCTTCGGTTGACCAAAACTATTGTCTTCGGTTGTTAATAGGGCGAATACAGCGGTTGGATTCTAACTAAGACAACATTCCTTCAGAAAGTTCCTGAATGTAATTCCAGCAATTCCAGCTGCGTCTGGCTTGGTGGTTGTGTACTGCCGTCCATTTGACGATTTTCGGTGTCGAATACTAATGATACAATCCAGCAGTGACAGTAACTTTCGGAATAGATTTGCCAAAACGTAGCGCTATCAATTTCAACAACAAGAATGTTGTCAGCTTGGAACTGCGTGACTCTGCATGATTCATTTCTGGCGTCTCCTCACCTGCTCCCATCCAAACCAGGCACTTTTCACTTTTAAGATTATGCTAGAATGCAAACACATCCGTTTCGCCTATGGCCCATATCGAAAAAGGCACGTGAATCTGGTGATTAAGGGAATCGTTTTCCAAGGCATTATTTCAGTTTTACTTCCCACTTCAGTAGGAAACTGAGCTACCTATAGGGGGATCTCTATGACCTTATTAATACTGTGAACACAACTCGATCCACGGTCTCAGCAGAGATACCGTTCTCGCCAATAAGTTCATCAATATTCCAGCCTCTACGCTCTGCCATTCGACGCTTAATTTCATCTACCCGCTTTTACTGAGCAGAGTGAACATTGTAGGCACCACTTTGACCTTTTCTTAGTCCACCTTCCCCCTCTTTTGACACTAGCATCCATTTTCGATTTTACGCTTAGAGAAAGCTGTGCCCCGGGAATGTTTGTCCAATTCATGATGAATTTGAGCGGCGCTTTTTCCTTTCACTACGTCCCATCTAAAAACTCCGCCTTGATTTTGACCACTCTTGCTTATTTCCCATTTTTGTTTATTACTTTCCCACCAATGATGACAAAATCGGGCAGTGACGCAATTGAATGTACCAACTTCTAATTAAAATGTCGATCAGGATGCCCCGACAACTTATCTATCCATATGAAAGGGAGCGCTGATCGTGACCTAATCGACAACTTTATTGGTATACTCAGTAGAAGAACACTAGTAACTTTACCTTTTCGGTGTAAATATTTTTCTCTTTTGTAGGCGAGACCTTGGGCCCAAAGGTTCATTCGGTGGGAAGGCTGACCGAAAGCAGCGACTAAAGAACCAGCCCATCGTTTTCGTACATGGAGTCTCGGATACTGCTGGTGAAAAGATGAAGCAAGCGGCCAACTGGTTCAAGTGAGTCACATTTTAGTGCAGGGAGAATTTCGCGTCTTCTCTCTTAAAAGATCTGGAATGTTCTATTACAGATTACGCCGTGCATTTAAGTACTACCTACCTCTACATGTGTATGTCTGAATCTAACCATAATTGTTAAGGAAAAAGTCATCGTATGCTAACAGTACGTCACTAGTTGATCCCTTGCAGCAAAAACTAGGGCTTGAACTATCTTAAAAAAAGACAACTCTAAAAAAACAATCCGATTGAGGAGGATTTCTTATTTGGCAAGGCGGTAGATTGTAGTAATAGAACAGTTCTTATATTCGATGGTTAAAGGCGCAGTTTGCCATAAAAATGGTTCCTGAGATTTGCCCTTGGAATGAAACTTTGGGCCCTAAAGATAGCAAGTGGGACATTGTCGGGTTGAAAACGACCTTGACAAGACGTTATAAGGGCTCCAAAGCCGTCTTTGCTGAAGTCAGTACACACTCAGGAATGGGCGTTTTGTGATGGCCTCGTTAAGGCACAACAATTCATTCATAGTGTACACTGATGAGTACGCTTGTGGGGAGGCACTCAGTTAGAGAAACATAATCTCATACAGACCCTTACTTACTACTATTTTGGACCCTTAAAATCCACCGATTTTCGTGGTTTCTTCTCGATTTCCGCGCTATTCCTCACTATGACTTAGAAGAATCCTCAGAATTATGGTCAATTATGTCTTCAGGGTGTTTTCATGGGAATCTTAGACCTAATAACAAGTACTCTGTAATATTATAAACAATGCCTAAAATGTTCGGTACCTGATCGCATCTCATAATCAGAGTCTTAGAGATTACTTTTAACAATTGGCTCACAAAAAACCTGCAAAAAGCAATGCTGTAGCAAAAGAAAAGTTGTAGAATTTCCGAATTTGAACGAATTTTTTGAATTTCTCCGACCAGATGTTGTTAGCGAAAGCAGTTCTCATAACTGGGAATGAAAGGAACTTGTCTAGCTTATTAGATTGATATCAAGCTAAGTTGAGCTGATTCTAAAGTCCTGATTTTAGGTCAATGGGTTACCAAAACAATGAGCTTTATTCTACTACGTATTTCAATGGAGCCCAGGGCAATCCACTGAAATGGGTCGAATATGGTATGCGGTGTGAGTACGTTAAACAGGTAAACTTTATGATCTTCTTTGCTGTCTCTGTATGTTGCGACTCCTCCCACATGCCAATCAGATCTCTCCTTCTCACGATCGAGATTCTAGCCACTTGAAGGCGCAGTTTACGATGAAATGATTTTTGAGATATCCTTCCAGAATGAACCTATGACCCGTCCCGGATTGCATCAAGGACGCTGTGCAGGTAGAACACCTTAGATAGGGTGTAATAAGTGCTCCAAAACCTGCTTAAGCTACGCGCACACCCAAAGGCGGACAAGCTCTCACGGCGTCGGAGGGTCTGTAGAGGTTGCACCATTCGCATCGGAAGGCGCAGGTTGCACGGAGGCATCTTACAGTAGCCAGCTGAACGGCACAACACAAACACACAACTCTTCCAAGTACCCTTCCCGTGCAACGCTTGTCGTCATATTCCCGCCCAATCCCTCATTTCACTACTTTTTTGAACTCATATACCCCTCAAATACGGGTGATTTTTTTGCGTTTTCTTCTTCACTCTAATGCTGCTATACTAATATTCTGGACTATCCCTTCCAGTATTCGTCTAACTAGATCCCCCATAGTTGTCGTGAACTGTGCCTTCAAAAACAGAGGCCAGTTAGTCATAATGCAAGTGATGGCATCTTTTCGACAATGTCATTGGTCATTACTGAGATGCACTCTGTGTGAATGAAATTCTTTGTTTACCTAATTTTTACCATATTTTATCGTTTCCATGCTTTGTGGATAAGGAAGGAGTCGGTTGTAGGTACGAGCTTTGATCGTCGCCACACGACTTTATACTGGTCGAGCGCTTGATGTAATCGCTTTTTCACTGGGTGTTCCGGTTTCCAGGAAAGCCATTTTGGGAGGTAACGTGGTTTATCAATGTTTTCTGTTAGCGCTACGGTCCTATACCATGTCAACGGAAACCTTCATGGCTTTGTTGTGGAAAGTACGACGTAGGAATTAGATGTAAGCCGCCGTCTTTACAGTTTCCACACTCGAACTTAAACCGTCTCCAGCACCTGCCGATGTGGCATGTGGTAAAAGCAAAACATGTGTCAGATTACACGTATTCACTTCCTCAACGAAAGGTCCTTTAAGTTGTGAAAGACGTCGATTTTTTTTCTCCTCCGAAAAGTCGTTCGATAGGATAGAAAATGCGTAGGAAAATAGATTTCATTACAACTTCTCCAGCAAATTTTGATTCCGATGTAGAATGAAGCACATCAGAAGAAACTTGTACAGCATTTATATTTATTTTTTATTATACACTATCACCAACGTTCTTTTTGTTCGACCTTTTGGGTTGCAACAGATTTCCTCAAAGATGGTCCAAGGGCTTACATAATCTCAAGCGTTGAATACAGGAGTAAGGGAAAGTTTCGAACGATCAGGTCAACCGTTGATTGTTTTCGTCAGTCACTGAGTTGATTGCAGGTCGTTGCGTTGACTCTGGTGAATACCTCGGTGGCCCTCTGACCAAATTCATTGACACCTTTGTTGGAGTCGCAGGACCAAACCATGGCATCGCCCTGCAGGTAAGTCATCTTGAACAGAGATTTCTATTACCTGTTTATGAACATTTTACAAATGACACCGTTGCTAATCACAACGCGAATCTATTACAATCAAGCTCGCCAAATGGTTTTAACTATTTGCTTTCCACTTGAAAGTGTAGACCGTTTTAGGTGGGAGGTGTGGCGATTCCCGGATGTGTTTTCAGTGTCATACCTGTTTGTAATCAAGTAACCGGGCTCTACTCCGGATTATGTCCAAGCGAAAGCGAATTCCTCCAGGTTTGTCAATGAGACCTCAATTGAACATTGATCATTCTCGTAGCAATCCTATCTTTGCAGGACATAAATCTTCAAGCGGGCTATGAAGGTCAACACATTTTCACTATTCACTCCAAAAAGGACCAAATAGTTGGTCATATTGTCTGTGGGAAGGTTAGTTTCTCAACATGAACATTGGCTACAAATAATTCACCATGAGGTGTGGCTTTTGCTCAGTTTTAAATGTATGCTTAAGGCCGTAGTAATTGGCATTCTTCTAACGTTTTCTTTTATACGGCTCCCATATTATCCTTCCGAAAAGCTCCTTAATCTTCTTCTTTCGCACATCGCTATTCCAATCGTCCACTCCAAATGACTGCAATACCCGAAAGCGGACAACCCCCAGAAATGGTACCTCACTTCGGACTATTGAAGATTAGGAAAACCTTTAAGCACTTGCACTTACCAGGGAGGGGTGGTCTACTTATCTTGAACTTTGAATTCAGACCCAGATAATTCGATAGAGTTTTGAATGCTGTTTACGAAAATGGAAATCAAAACTGCAAAATGGTTCTCCTTAAAAAGTTATGGGGGCCCGAATTCTGCTCGGCGGCAGTATCAATTGGAAATGCGAACTCGCCGCTTCCATATCAAACGCCCACGTGACCTGGTGGTAGTGGTCTCGCTTCGTGGGGG